CAGGAGGGTGAGCAGAGCGAGGCCGGGGAGACCTGACTCGGCGGCTGTGCCGGGTGCGGGATGGCGCCCTGGGCCCAGGGAGGGCGGACCTCTAGGCGCCAGGGGAAGCGTGTTTGAACCAGCTGGGAAAGCAGAAGAAAGAGCGGGTCCAATTCAACCTGCTCTCGTTTAGAAATTGGAGCACTGGGTCCATGGGGACGGAGATTCGGTTTCCCGAGTCACGAAGCTGTGAAGGGACGGAGCTGGCAGTCTTTTTACACCCGCTGTCCCCTCTGAAGTGAAGAGGAAGAATGATGCAAGTGTTTGACGTTACCTTAGTTACTGGAAATGCGGGTGCTGGTGCCACTTCGGCTCTCAGCACCATGGAAACGAGTCTTATGGTGGAAAAACTCAGCCGTGTCCTCACTGAGCTTGAGTTCCACGCTTCTTAATTCATTAAACATTAAAATTCGTTCTGTGCCAGGTGCTCTGCTAGAAACTGAACGTCTAGAGGTAAGCAAGCCCCAGCCCTCCAGAGCGGGGCAGAAACGTCCCCAGGCAGCAGTTATGACGCAGGTGTAGGCAGCGGACGCCTCCAGGGAGCATGGGCTGAGGATACTGAGCAGCCGTTGCCCTGGGTGACTGGAGAGAGGCCTCGGCGAAGTCCTGGCATCTGATGGATGGGGTGAGGCGTCCTAGGAATTAACGCAGGGCCTTCACACTGAGCTACATCCGTCCTCTGCCTTCTTTTCATTTATTTATTTATTTTAAATCTTGTATTTACAGGGTCCAGCTCTGACTAGGATCTTTAAGAGCAGACCATTTGGAGGTATTTGAAAGTGGGCATTTCAGGTGGAAGGTTCAAAAATAACAAACAAAAAACCCAAAGCAACTGCAGCAGCAATAGTTACAATCTCTAGATGAGTGTGACTCACAAGGACCAGTCTGGTTTGCCTAGATTATAGGGCTGAATAGAGGCCAAGATTATAGACAGTGCAGGATGGGTAGTGTTTTAGTCATTTTCCTGCCACTGGAACACGATACCAGACACAGTTTAAAGGAGCTTATTTTTTGCCTCACGGTTTCAGAGATTTCAGTCCATGGTCTGATGGCTTCAAGGCAAAAACAGCAAGGGGAAAGGTATGGAGGGATGGTGGAGGACAGCTGCTCAAGCTATGGTAACCAGGAAGCAGAGAAAGGAGGCAGGGATGACAATCCCCCTTCCAGTTTACACCCCCAGTGACCCACCTCTTTCCACCAGGCTGCACCTCCTGACTGCACAGTCAGCCATGAAGTCAGCAGTAGATAAACCCATTGCTCATTACAGCATCCACATGATTTAAGCACTGTTCAAAAGCCCCACCTCTGCACACGTGAGACTTTGAGGGAATGTTTACATCTAAAAGATAACACGCAGTCAGTGGTGAGCTTTGAAGGATTCAAAACAGACCATGGCCAGGCTGTGGCTGAGGATGGTAAGCGTGGCCTAGTTTGTGGCTATGAGTTGTACAATCAGAACATTGGGCCAAGGGCCGGTGCAGCCCTGAGAGTCTGTTTCTGACTCTGGCTTGGCCAAGCTTGGCCAGTCTTGGAGCACAGGGCTTCGTGGGGGCAGAACTGTGGATGAAAGGAGCAGCTGGAATAGGAAAGGGTCTGTATGGAATCGGGAGGCTGTTGCACAAGGAGCAGGCTGAGATCGCTAGTTTCGGGACTTCAGACTTCCAGTAGTGATCCTAAGAGTACTTGGTGAGCACATGCTCCTAGACCCTCCATAACACAGGTGGCCTTTGGACAGGAGCCACAGTTAGTCAGCTTGTCCCTGTTTGTGTAGGGAGCATTTATTTCTTTTAATGCATTCCGAGGGCCCAAGATGGAGCTGTACACAGAATAACCTCTTCTGGCGATTGGAATGGGAAATTTCTTGTACAAAGATTAAAGTCTTACCTTCATACAGCTCTACTATAAATGATTCCGTACAGTCCTGTGCATGTGAACTCTAAAAATGTGCCTGAATGAACTTGGTCCAGGGAAATCAACTTAGTTAAGTAGACCTGTAATGACCATTTGCCTAAGGTCTCAGTCTGGCCACCTTGTGGATGCTTCTAGCCTCACCTTGACATGCACTGGGCAGGAGAAAAGCAGGGGTCCCCCCAGCAAGGCTCCCCTTCCCGTTACTCCCTGGTTGTGCATGTGAAATATGTATTTGTGTGCTTTTGCACCCTCTCCATCTAATAGCCAGTTGAGAGGAGGAAAAAGATTATATATTTAGGAGCAATACCTTTGTCGGATGATTTTTAATCTGTGGTATCCAGGAGGACCATAAATCCTGGAGGAAGAACCCATCTGAGCCTGTTCCTGCTCTATAAAACAGTGGCCTCCATGACCAGCTCTCGATTGTTAAGAAATATCCCACATATTACCCTTTTATAGGCGCACCCCTCTGGTCCCTTCCTTATCCCCCTGACAACCCCTACATTTGTTTTTTTAGTTTTGTAACTTTATCAAGAATGCTGCCCGGTGGATTAGCAGAGATGCAGTGCAACCTTTTGCCTTTTTCTTCCACTCAGTATAGACCTCTTGTGATTCATCTGGGTTTCACATTGATTAATAGTTTGCTCCCTTTCTGTTCCTTAGTAGTATTCTAAGGCATGGCCTCCGGCAGTGTTTTCGTTAGCATGTATTAATTGTTCTTCATAATAGGGTTCGGTGTGATATTTCCAGACACACATACAATTCACCCTGGTCAAATCCAATCGCTAATTACCCATCCCTCCACCCACCCACATGTGCTTCCTAATCTCTGGAAATCACTAGTTGACCTCCATGACCTCCATGTCTACTTCTTGAAATGTGCACATAAGAGAGAAAACATGCAGTATACTGTGCTTGCCTTTCTGTGTCTTGCTAATCCTGTTTTTTTGCTATTGAGGTTTTATTTCATATATTCTGGGTATCAATCCCTTGTCGTATGCATTAGGGTGCAAATATTTTCTCACATCCTGTACGTCGTCTCTTCACTGTGTTGTTGCCTTTCCTTTGCCAAAGCTTTTGAGCTTGACGTAATCCCATTCGTCTAGTTTTGCTTTTGTTTCCTGTGCTTTGGGTTCTTATGTGTTAGGCATCCTGTGTAGAAAACCCTGGCCTGGAGTAGGGAGATGGACCTCAAATTGAGTTGAAAGCTTATCGCTGACTACTTGCCCCTTACCTCATTGGAGTGTCTTGAGGTGTTTTTCCTATGTTTTATTATAATAGATTTGAAATTTCAGGCCTTACATTTGGGCATTTGATTCACTTGGAGTTGACTTTTCATAAGTGAGAGATCAGGGTCAAGTTTTAGTTGTCTGCATCTGATGTCAAGTTTGCCCAGCCATGTTTATTGAAAAGGACGTGCTTCGTTTCTCTTGCTGAGGATTGCATTGCTATTCAGGGATCCTTTGTGCTTCCCTATGAATATTAGTATTGCTTTGTCTAGTTCTGTGGAGAACGTCCTGTGTATGCTGATGGTAACTGCATTCTATCTGTAGATCACTTTGGGTAGTATGGACATTTTAATATAACAATTCTTCCAGTCCATCAATATGGGAGATCTTTCTGGTGTTTTGTTTCTTGCTCGATTTCTCTCATCAGTATTCTATAATTTTTAGGATATTGACATTTCACTTCCTCAGTAAAAACATCTAATATTTCTACATGTTTTGTGGCTATTGTGAATGAGACTGATTTCTCAGTTGGTTTGTTTTTGGCATATAGAAAAGCTACTGACTTTTATATACTTGCTGAATTTATTGTCAGTCCTAACAGTATTTTGGTGGTTTTTCTATATTTATACAAATATATCTGCTGATAGGGATAATTTGACTTCCTCCCTTACTACTTGCATCCCTTTTATTTCTTTCTGTTGCCTGATTGTTCTGTACCAGTACTATATTGAATAAAAGCAGTAAAAGTGGACATGACTTGTTTCATTCCTGATCTAAGTAGAGATGCTTTCAGCTTTTTCTCATTCATTACCATATTGGCTATGGGTTTGTCATAAATAGCATTTATTAAATTGAGGTATGGTCCTTCTATACCTAATTTTTCCAGCGCTTTCATCAGAAAGAGATGTTGAAATTTACCACATATTTTCTACATCTATTCAGATAATTTATGATGATTACCCTCTATTTTTGTTTGTTTTTTATCTTTATTAAGTTTATTGGTACATTTTAGGTATATAATGCAGTTACATTCATCACTAGGATCTTGTACCTTTACATGATGTTATCTAGGGTCTTATTAGTCCCCATTCCCCAGCCTTCCCTTCAGCCCCTCTACCCTTCCCTGTTCACAAAGACATTGTTTCCATGTTTTTCCTTTTCACATATTTTTCTTTTCCCTTTTTACCTTTCCCCTACCCTTCCTCTACTCTTTTAGACCTTTTTTCCTATTACACAATATCAATTACACATTTTGATTCCTATTTATACTTTTAGTTTTTCACACCAGAGAAACTATTTGGTATTTACACATGTGTGACTTATTAATTCCACTTAAGAGTATGGCCTCAATGTGCATCCATTTAGCCATAAATATCTTGAGTTTATCATTCTTTACAGCTCAGTAGCACTCCATTTTATTTTAAAAAACACTTTTTTTAACCCTCTATTTTGATGTGATATATTACATCTTATTGATTTGTGCATGTTGAAAAAAATCATTGTATCCCTAAAGTGAAACCAATTTGATCATGGTGTGTTAGTTTTCTTGTTGCTGACAAATTACCCCATGTCCAAAGATAAAGGGGAAAAGA